GGAAGGGAAGGGAAGGGAAGGGAAGGGAAGGGAAGGGAAGGAAAGGAAAGGAAAGGAAAGGAAAGGAAAGGAAAGGAAAGGAAAGGAAAGGAAAGGAAAGGAAAGGAAAGGAAAGGAAAAGTGAAAAGCAGGGATATAAATAAGATTCCCATTCACCCCCTGGAGTTCAGAGTGTGGGGGGACACAGCAGAGTTCAGACGCTTTCCCAGGACCCTTTCCCCATGTGGACAGGCAGGGGAGGCTGTCACTCTGTCCATGCTCCTTCCCACCCCCAGCACCCTTGTTCCTCCCTGTGCTCACATGTTTTCTGTTCCCTGCCCACAGGAAGGCAGTCAAGGCCACTCTGGTKCTGCTGCCCCTGCTTGGCATCACCTACATGCTGTTCTTCGTCAACCCTGGCGAGGATGACATTTCCCAGATCGTCTTCATCTATTTCAATTCCTTCCTTCAGTCTTTTCAGGTAAGGCAGCAAGTTTACMGCTGGTGTCAGCTGCTGCTGGAAGGATCCCTGATGCTTTTCAGCCAAGAAACTTGGGGCAATRAAGTCTGTGATGGAAATACCTGCTGCAAATAGCTCAGCTGAGTTCACACATGCATAATAGATGTGTAAGTGTGTCATGGGGAGTGGAAAATCCTCTCAGGTGTGAACTGGAGGGATTAATCTGCCTTAACATCAGCACTGTARCTGCAGCTCTTCACATAAAATCAAGGGATGAAGAGATTTCATTGCACCTGCCTGAGAGGGGTTGAGGGATCCCCCTCCCGAGGTTCCTCTCTCTTCCCAGAGCACRCAGTGAGCTGAGACTGGGACTTGATGTTGCTAAACCAGAGGGAAACTACTCCTTCCTGTTGGATTTGCTGTTTTATTCAGGTTGTAAGTCTCCAGACAAAAGTTAATATGCTGTTCTCTGCAGCCAACAGCCTAATTTATAATTCATATTGGATTTTATTTAATATGGTGATTTTTAGGAATRTTAGGTATGTATTTCAGATATTTTCTCTGATTCAGAAAAGAAAGACATRGTGAGTATCAGTTTAGAGCCACCTGCTTGAAGGGAAATTTAAGGCAATCACTCCCACAGGAAGACAATGAAACATTAACCAGCTGCTCTCAGAGAAAATTCTAATATTTTGGCATTGCTGTTTTACCTCCTGTGTGCAGGAACAAGTGCTCTGACACCCAGGATATCAATACAAAGCTACAGCTGTCGAGCCAAATCTGGGGTGGGGTTAATGTTTTTACTGATTGCATCCCACCAGAAACCACAGCTGGATATCCAAAATGAAAAATRTCCCTTTTAACTTGTGAACCTTTACCCATGAAGCAATCCACTCTTTTCATTCCGTAAAATTGAATGTATTTTTTATCTGCTGATGCTCAGTGTCTCAAAAAAAAAAAAAAAAAAGCTGCTCTGCTTGTTTACTTGTTAGGGCTGTGAAGATGTAAGAAAGCAAGCACAGGGAGTCTCTCCTTTGTGGTGACAATAATTACAGCCCTAAAAACAAAATGGGTAAAATTCCACTCACAAGAATTCAGATCTTTGAAGCAGTTCTGGGGGTTTTATCACTGCTGTCAGCAGATTCCACAGAACCATTCAGCTCAGGTGAATTTAAGCAATCTGATKATACACTTGCCCTCATGAGACCATCTAAAGCCCTTTAACACCCCCTGTGAGTGTTTGGGATGTCTCTCCAGAGCTGTCAGATGTGGCACAGCACCTCTGAGGGCTCTGGGCTGTCTGGGGAGGGCAGCTGGATGCTGCAGAGCTGCTTTAACCCGGCTGAAGTGGCAATCCCCTGTATCAGAGGAAATGTTAAAATGCTTACCTAATAACTGACTGCTGTCTCTTCTTTCCAGGGTTTCTTTGTGTCAGTATTTTATTGCTTCTTGAATGGTGAGGTGAGTAATGAATCCTTGGGAGGTGGAATTTGCTCGGGTAACTGATCACAGRGACATGAGATGTTTTTACAGGGGCTCACAGTCCCATCAGTCTCTTAATGTGCCCCTGAATTCCCCAGTCCTCTCTGCTGGTGCCTTTTGCTCTCAAAGCTTTATCAAATTCAGACTGTTACGTGGGGTCAGGGCAGAGGGAGAGAAGTTTTCTCAGGTTATAAAATTCCCGTCCTTCATTTTCAAACTTCTTAAAAGTTTCTCATTAATTAAAAGTAAGATTTCTGGGCATAGCTGAACACTTTTGAGCTGAACTCTTGTTAAGGATATGCTGCAGGTGACCCATTTGTGTCTTGCCATGCTGAGCTGAGTGAGTTTGTCCATGTAGGTAACTTCCTCTGAGTGATGAGTGCCTGTTGCATTCAGAAAAGAGGGCTGAAAACAGATTTAATCAGAATTAATTTCAGGTACTGCTATCCAAGCAAGAAATGTTTCACTGATATCCCTTAGTGTTTGACTTTCACCCCAAAATGTGTGGGATTTGTCTTTCCCCTACTTACACTGCCAGTGTCTCATTTACCTGCATTTAAATGTGTCTTCTTTGTCCAGCCAAAATTTTAGTTCTCTGCAGAAATTAATTCCATATTTTGTTATTCCTTCTGTCTTGATTGAAATTCCCTTTGTGCTGCTTCTTAATTTCATTGTGGGCTATGAGAAAGAATAGGCATGGCTTCAAAGAAGCAATGTTTTACTTTATTTTTAAAATTTTATTTTATTTTTGGTTCTTGTTTTGTTTTACATTAGTAACTTCTCCTCTGCCTTATTAATTCTGAGGCGATGTTGACAAGAAGCAGCTCAGCTTCCTCACGTTAAGCACGTGCCACTTTTATATCGTGGCAGCAGAGTGTTCTSAGTTCTCTTTCCAACTTTCCCTCTCATAAATTCTCACCATTCCGTTTGCCTCTTGTAGGAGGTTTAAATTTTCCTCCAAAATACAGGTGCATGTAGACCAACATGACCTTAAGCTGTGCCAGGAGAGGTTTGGGTTGGGTTTCAGGGAAAGGTTCTTCACTCAGAGGGTGCTGGCACTGCCCAGGCTCCCCAGGRAATGGTCCCAGCCCCGAGGCTGCCAGAGCTCCAGGAGGATCTTTCTGTAGACAGCAGGCATTTTTAAAGTATTTTTTTCATATTTTTTTTCACTGCAATCCCAATTGAACATCAGGGGTGGAACCCAGGCCATGTGATTTCACAGCCACTCGGAACTTGCTATGACCCCACTTCCATTTTGTGGAGCAGGTTCACAGGTTTGTTCACACAGGTTTGCGTGGCTGTTCACAGCAGGTTTTCCCTCCTTTGGCTGTTCTGGATTCTTCCAGCTGTTTCCACTGGGAGAAATGTCCAAAAATCCCCTTCCCTGAGCAGCCGGAGGCTTTGTGTGCAAAGCCTTCTGCCAGCCTCCCATCTCCTGTAACACAGATGAGTTCAGACACCATGGAGCTSATCAAAGGAGGACGATTCCCCTCATGCACTTCTAGGCCTTGATAACAATCTACTGGGAAAGCTGGAATGATTCCAGAACTGATTTTCCAGCTGTGTCACACTGCTGTCGCACTGGGAACRGGCATTTCTAAGGGAGTCAGCCCCAGGTTGAGACACCCACCTTGGGATCTTGTTTCATTTCCCTAAACACAGATGTCTGGTGCTGCTGGGGAGGCTGCAGGGTGTCTGAGGCATCCACGTGGCTCTTCCCAGCTGATTCAGGATCTGGAGAAGATTCACATCCGACTGGGAAGTGGGAATGCCAAGTGGGATGGAGTGGAGGTGTTCAAATGGCTCTGTGTCAGTAATTTGAGCTGGTCAATAGAACCTTTTTGATTTTGGAGCTTTTCACCAGCTCAACCTGCAGCAGACATCTCCACATGCTCCAGTCTTTGCTGGCAGTCTGGATTGGCTCTGCCCTGCATACCCAGACAACCTGCCCCTGTGTGGCACCCACAGACAGCTGAGTTTGGGAAGGAAATCCTCCCTGAAGTGTTYATTTACATCCCATGTGCAACTTTCACTTGGCTGATAAACCATGGCAACTCTCTGGCTCCTCTTTTGAGGTGTAAGTCCAAAACCCTCAGATAATACAGTATTGCCTCTTTCAAAACTGTGAAAGGACTTAGGGCTCGTCTTAATGTACTGTGAGAGTGGTTTTTTGAAGGGTCRTAAAACCTTTAAAGGATAAAATTTCCTGTTCTGTTTTAGCCCCAGCTTTTCTTGGCACAGAAGAAAGCAGCAAATTCAGTGATATTTTTTTTTCAGAGCTTTCTGGGTTTGTAATCACATTGTCCAGAAAAAAAAAATTGCATCTTGCAGTACAGTAATTTAAAAGCTCAGCTGCTTCCAGCCAGGCATCCCTACAGAAGTGGTGTTGAAGGCAATGCTGCTCGGTCCCCATGAGCTCCCAAATTTTGCTCTGAAAGGGGTTTTCCCCTTTTAGATAATAACCTGTGAGGAGCAGCCTTTCAGTAGCCTGAAATCTTTGTGAGTATCACTGAAGCCTTGTTATTATCTCTCCAGTGAGCCTGAWATTCAGGTGATGGATGGGCTGATAACTTTCTGTCTCAGGAGGTTTTAAAGGTTCAGGTTTTCCACTTACACCAGAGTTGGATTCCTTAAATGCATCTAATGGTCTGTGTCAGGTTACTCATCCCCCACACTGCCAAGGGTTGATGACACAAGCAAAAAGCCTGGAAAACCCATTAATTTCAAGCTTTGCTAAAGCTGTGATTTCAGATGCATCTCTCACATTCCATATTTGATTCACATCCCACTAAATACTTACAACTGCCTGTTGTAGAGCTCAAAAATTACGGATTGCCCTCCAAAAAAAYGCCCCAAAACATGTTCTTCATAACATTTTCAATGAATGCTTCATGTCTGGGACACCTGTCCCTTCAAAATTTGTGCATTTCCTTTTGCTGTGGGACCAAAAGCTGGAAGAGAGAGGAAGCACCATTGTGGATCCCCCAAGTGTGATGTTCTACTCACTAGGAACCCACATTAAAAATCCCACATAACCTGATTTGGGTTTTGTTTTTTTTTTCCCTGAGGCTCAGTGTGTGATTTGACTGAGTTTTCTCATCAGGAAGTATTTTTGAGAAAGAAGGAGAATAACAGGAAATAAAGAAACAGAGGTGATCTTGTTCTCAGCATCCACGAAGGGGTTCATGCAAAATTCCTTCCCTGTCAGGGCAAGAATTGGATGCAGTCTTTACACAGTTGTGCTGGATTTTAATGTTCTCAGAATAAGGAGAATTAACAATTAACCCCAGTCCTTTTTGAGGAAAGGAAATTGTGCAATGAATTTACTGCCTGTAYTTTAAAGTGCACGTGGAGATTTTGCAGCAAGATTTAGTTAATGTTGAGGCTATTTCTCAATCTGATGTGAAAACCACTTGGTTTGAATGCAGGGAAAGCATTAAAAGTGTTACTGGAACATCAGCAAATGGCAGAAATACTACTTTAAAACTGCATTTTGATAGAGTCACAGGAAATGGAACCATGTGTCACGACAAACCTGCATGAACTGAAAATAAAGAGGAACAGCTTTGTGCTGTACCCCTAACCCAGATCCCACAATATCTGAGCATCTCAGTCTGTATAACTTCAAAACTTCTAAAACTGGCTTTAAAGATCAAAATCAGCATCATAAAAACACTCAGGATGTGAGAGGCTGTTCCASAGCAGAGTTTGCCTACAGAGCTGGCAAGGGTTGGACTCGATGATCCTTAGGGATCCCTTCCAAGCTGAGATATTTTGAGATTCAGGGATTCTGTTCTGTGAAGTTTCTGTCCCTTTGTCAGAGTTCTGGCTGTGAAATTTGGAAAAAGAAGCTTTTCCAAAGAAGAAGATGAGAGTCTTCCAAAAGAAGAAGATGAGAGTTTTTCCTCTCTACCCTGTAGCCTGCCCTGATTTAAACAAATATACCCTGAGATCTAACCAAAGGTGACACCTTGGAAATTCTTGGTACCACCATAAAAGGTTCTGATTTTCAGTGGCCTGACAGTTTGGAAAGGGAAAACAGGAATTTTTAAATTGTAGCCCATGCAAAGAACTTAAAACAGCTGAGTTAATTTCCTTTGGTTTTGAGTGAACTTTTGTCCTGGGCATTCTGTCACCTCCCTTTCCCCCATTTCCACCAAACACAGTGTTTCACACAGCTCCTGGCCTGGCTTTGTTGGCTGCAGTGGGAGAGGATGTGTCGGGCACCTCAGCTGGAGATAAAACATCAGTAAATCAAAGAAACAATCTGAGCTCATCAAGTCCAACCCCTATCTGCACACTGCCAAGCCCACCACTCAACCATGGGCTCATTTCCTAATTTTTTGGACACTTCCAGGGATGGTTGTTCCATCACTTGGGTTCCAATGCCTGAACACCCTTTCAGTGAAGAAATTGTTCCAAATATCCAATCTAAATCTCACCTGATGCAACTTGAGGCCATTTCCTCTGGTCCTGTCCCTGTTCCCTGGAGCAGAGCCCGACCCCCCGGCTGTCCCCTCCTGTCAGGGAGTTGTGCAGAGCCACAAGGTCCCCCCRGAGCCTCCTTTGCTCCAGGCTCAGCCCCTTTCCCAGCTCCCTCAGCTGCTCCTGTGGCTCCAGACCCTTCCCAGCTCTGTTCCCTTTCCTCTTTCCAAGCCAACACCTTATACACAGATTATTGCAGTGAATCCAAGGGGAAGAAGCAGTTTAGATACAAAGTTTACAGGGGTTTTTTTATGTTTTATTGCTTCTGGAAAGTTCTGAAGCTGTTTTGAATGAGCTGTGTGTGCTGTGGATGGACACAAGAGGCCAYTGGCACTTGACTCATTAATTTGTTTAGAGACTTTGTGGAAAAGGAGTTACATCTTTTTGGACACAGAAAATCTACTAGCACTAGAGGGCAAAAATATGCAAATTTAATTTAATCCAAGTGGAAAAGAGCATCTCTGGACTTCCAGGAAAATTGACGATGAGAGGTT